AAAATTAGCCGGGTGTGGTAGCATGCACCTGTAGTTCCAGCTACTCGGAAGGCTGAGGCGGAAGGATCGCCGGAGCCCAACAGGTCGAGGCTGCGGAGGCCAGGAGAGGCCACTGCACTCCAGTCTGGGTGACAGAGTGAGACTCCAACTCAGAAGACAAAAGTTTTACAATGGCCCAGCAGGTGCACACATGCATATATACTACATAACCACAGCTTCTCAAAACAGCACCATACCTCTCGGGACCCACAATGCACTGATACTTTTTCTATTCTTGTCTACTCTGGCTCATTCTTCCTAAAACACTGGCAGGGTCCATCCACTGAGCTTACAACCCCCAAGCAGTCCCAGCCTGTAGGGTGAACATCTTGGCTACAGCCAGTGCCCGCCCGCCCTGGCAGCATGGCGTGCTACACAAGTGACCCCCACAGCGGTCACGACGGTGGCAGGTGCCACCCCAGCCCCTGGAGCAGCAGCCGTCCACTGCCCCAGGCCCAAGTCCTGCTCCCTACGTGACACCCCCTAGAGGGAAGCTGCAGGCTGGACTCCCCAGGGACGGGTGCAGTGTGGCACCCCGACGCCACCGAGGGAGCACACAGATGCGGGAGACCTACCCCGGCAGAATGCACCATGCACTTGGGCGCGCCTGTTGTGCCCGACGAGAACATGATGAACAGAGGGTGGCTGAAGGGTAGCTGCTCGAACTCCAGCTGAGGGGCCTGCTCGCTGGCGCCCAGGCTGAGAAAGTCATCCAGGAACACACTGCGGAGAGACGCAAGGAGTAAGCGTGAACGTTCCAGAATGCTGGGCCGGATTCGCTGACTCCGCCCATGCACTCCCGCCACCCCTACCACAGTCACACCCGGATTTGGGGGGACACGGACTAATCTGGAAACTTCTGGGGAGGGGAGAGCAGGAGGGAATCAAACCTCAGGGATGGAAGTCAAGTGAAAGAAAGCTCACTGAGGAGTGAGACTTCAAGGTGCTCAGGACTCTGCAGGCGCCAAGGGCTGGCTCTTCGAGAATCCTTCAAGTGTTCCCTAAGCACCCTGGACAAGGGTCACTTACAGTGCATGCAGCAGCTACGTGTGCGAACGCCACTGCCCCTGCTATTAGATCCTTGATTAGCACACACCCCGTCTCCAATGACTGCCCAAAACCGGCATTAACCACGTGGGTCTGATTCCAGAGTCCTCCACGTGGGGAGAAGGTGGTGATAGATTGACGAGCACTTCCTACAGATGAGAGGCAATCTCCCAAAAGCTCAGCCCAAAGACAGAAGTGCCAGGCACATACTGTGTGTTGCCACTACACTGAGGTTTACAACAGTGAGGTACAAATATCTTCCGAGAACAATAAAATTAATCCCAGCAATTGATTGTCACCTAACAAGTCTGCCCAGGCTTACCCCAAAGCTGACATCAAGCATCAGGGCCGGTGGCAGGGACCGCTAACACAAGCAGGGCAACACAAACAGGAGATTTGTTTTCTGCACTAGAAACAGCCGCAGAAGCCCCAGGCCGCCTTGGAAAGGTGGTTTTCTACTTTGAGATCAGCAGAAAATCAGCCCCAAACACCGGCCCTCCACTGCTCTTGACAAATGGAACTTTCTCTCTTTCAAGGAAGGAGGAGGTAGGATTGGTTACACTGAGCCTGCAGCAAGCTGCTAAGGAGAATAACTCTGAAATCCAAACGCATTCAACTAGCACGGAGGCTCCTGCTGCCTTGCAGGGAAGGCATCCTTAAGACAAGGGTTTCTCCTGGGGAGACGGAGCACTTTAAAAGACATGGCATCTGAGATAATTCAACTCAAAGAACTCTGGGACAAGTTCAGCTCTGATCAAACCATTTCCCTCATGTCCAAAATGAAGATGTTTCCAGTCCCATTTGGTACTCAAGACGTGTGATTTATCATTAATGTATAAATGTCAGAAAAGCAAGCCGGGCTCGGTGGCTCAGCCTGTAATCCCACGCCTTGGGAGGCTGAGGTGAGTGGATTGCCTGAGCCCACGGGTTTGAG